GGGTCGCTGGTGGGCACCACTTGAGAATCGAGGCCCAATTATGGGCCCCCCTCGGGCTGCTCTATACTCCATTAGGGTACCTTCCGTTCTGGGCCCTCTATGTGGGCCTTTATGGGCCCTTAGACCACCGGCCCACTCCCCCCGAATTCTTCCACGCACAGGTATTCGAATGGCCGGAATCGCGGGTTCCGCGCAATCGAACCCCCCACCGGGTGGAAAATTGCTTCAAAAAATGTGAAAACTTGCCATAAGATCGCGAAACAGAAGCCAACGCCTAAGCACACTAAGTAGTAGCTTGAGCTCAAGCTAAGACGACCTCTAGGTTGAGCATAAGCTGAAGCTAAAGCAGGCTTAAGCCGGGATTAAGCAAAGCTAAGCTCACACGCCAAGCTGATGAATCAGCTTAAGCTAAATCCAAGCCTAAGCAGTATAAGCTTAGGCCAAGGCTATGCCTAAGCCAAGTCAACGCCTAAGCCAGAGTAGCCTAAGCTTAAATTAAGCCTAAGAAAACGTCTAATTTAGTCCTAAGCTCAGGTCTGAGCCAAACCTAAGCCCAGCCGAAGCCTAAACAATACCTAACAAGGGGATGGTCTCAGCTCGGAATCGAATTCGGATTTGAAAATTTGCACACTTATAGAGCTCGACGAGACAAATCGATTGGTGTAACTTTCAGCAGCAGATACCCCGAACTAACAAAGTTATAAGCATTTTGAGTTTTTGCATACATTTTGCAGATTTTTCGCCATACCTTCATAAGCCCTCCCCCTTCCCCCATCACCGTGGTCTGGTGGTCTAGTGGTGTAGTCGGCGGCGTCTGGGGAATCTATCAAGGGTTCGAACCCGCTCACGATTTTTATTTTTTGCTTTTTGGTCCAAAGATTCCTCTTGGCATTCCAAAGACCTTTAATGGCTTTTTAGGCATTCACACAGGAACCAGGAAGCGTTGCCAACAATAAAGCAGCTTTGCGAAAAATTTAAAATTTTTTGCCTGTGCTCATGCCTCCTCAAAAAATTTTGGGGAAATTTTCAGAAGACTGGCAATCTGCTTATCAACACTTTATCGTATCCCAAGCTGCATGAAAATAATCAAAATTATTTTCTTTGAACTGATCCTACTATGGTTACCTTGCCAACTCTCAAAATTTCCAAAATTTTTAGGAGTGGGATTTTTTGCTGCGAGCGCTTCCTGAGTTCCTGGTGAATGCCTAAAAAGCCATTAAAGGTCTTTGGAATGCCAAGAGGAATCTTTGGACCAAAAGCAAAAAATAAAATCGTGAGCGGGTTCGAACCCTTGATAGATTCCCAGACGCCGCCGACTACACCACTAGACCACCAGACCACGGTGATGGGGAAGGGGAGGGCTGCCTGAAGGTATGGCGAAAAATCTGCAAAATGTATGCAAAAACTCAAAATGCTTATAACTTTGTTAGTTCAGGTATCTGCTGAAAGTTACACCAATCGATTTGTCTCGTCCGAGCTCTATAAGTGTGCAAATTTTCAAATCCGAATTCGATTCCGAGCTAAGACCATCCCCTTGTAAGCTTAAAACGAAGTCAAAGCTTACCCCAAAGCCAAGCCTAAGCCAAAGAATAAGTCGAGCCTAAGCCAAATCCTAAAAACCCACAACCATGTTCTGCCTTTTCCACCCCTTTAACGCGTTTATACCGGTTCCAACTCCAAAATTCGACATTTGGAAACCCGGAAAACCTCTCACCCCGGCAGTTACCCATCCTCCCGTTGCGGTAATTTGACTTTGGCACGGACAATAGCTGTGAATAGGCGCGTCGTGTAGTGTCATGATGTTCTGTCTCCTCAACCCACTCTCCCTCTTCCTCTCATTGTGTCCACCCATCTGTCCGTTCTATGGCCAATAGCATCGCCGCGCCCAAATTGACCCACCTCGGCTTTCAGAGGGGTCTCGACGCGAATATTGACAACTCGGACGGGGTGACAGCTAATTCGCATGGAATTTGAAGCTCGCATCCGTTGGGTTAGGTTTAGACGTAGATTAGGCCTGGCTTCGACTTGGTTTAGGCAGCGAAGCTTAGTCTTGGCTTAGGTTTGGGCTTGGCTTAGGTTTGGCTTCGAGCCGGCTTAAGCGGGCTTAGACTTGGCTTGATTGATATCGCGCCGGTTAAGCTAACTTAGCTTAGCATAAAACAGCAAAGCATAAAGGTACCATAACAATTACGCGAAGCAAAGTGACGCGTTGCGTGTCCCGGTGCCCGTTCCGTACCATATCATTTTTCATACTGAGCCCTGACTTTCCCTAAAACTTGCCCCAAGTACCGTACCTACGGCGGCTGATCAAAGCGACACCTTAGTGACTTCCGGGCCCCGGTTTCCCATCCATTCCCCCTCGGGTGGCCCATGAATCCAGTGTGGGGTAGTGCAGGACGTGGGGGGGGAGGGGGGCTGCAAAGTTGTAAGGCGCCACCCCGTGGGGTGTGAAAAGGAGCCGAACGTAGTGCGCGACGGGGCCAGGAAGACAAAAAGGGGCGTCGGAACGAGGCGGCTTACAGGGTGTCCAAAAAAATTATTCCGGACTTTGGGCTCGAATAACTTTTGATAGAAGAATATTTCACCATGCGTTACCATGCCAAAATGCTTAAAAGTGTCTGGAACTCCGATTTAGATCAACTTGATTTTTTCGATTTTTGAGTACACAACTGTACTATTGACGCTGGTTACGACCGAAAATTGTGCGTTCTTGAATGGGTGGTGGGAAAATTCTGAATTTTGGCCTAAGAATAGCTGATATTTATAGAAAATTAATCCCCAAATATTATAATTTTTGAAGCACTAGCTCTTTTTTCACAAGCAAAACAAATTTCACTATTTTGCAGCTTTTTGCCTTTTAATTCGCAACTCGCTTCAAATACGCTGCCCATGGCTGATCTTTTGCAGATGGTGTCACCAAGTGATAATCCTTAGCCCAACACCAAATTTTACCTGATTCTATGGTATTTTAATATTGCTTGCTAAAACGTGCCCCAGAGGGATACTGTAGTTTTTGTTTTTTGCGTTTTTCTTTTTATCGTAAGCTGCGATTTCGCTTAAAATTTTATCATTGGTAAACATTAGTAAGGGTCACCTATAAGCGAAAGATCGCGAAGTTCTAGCCACACACCTTCCCAAAATATGCAAAAAACTTATTTTTGCATTTAGCCACGGAAATGTCTAAATATTTTGTTGCATGGGACCAAAAATTACTATTATTTGCTTTCCCGAAAGGTCGAAACGTTTTTATGGTGAAAAGAACCAGAAAACGACGATTTTCTGTTTTCTACCGTAACCCGTCTGGAGCACGTTTTAGCATGCCAAGACAAAATGCCATAAAATGCAGATTTTTCTATTCTAGAATGTTCTATGAGTAATTATAAGGAAGCAGGCGAAAAATTACTTACTTTCTGTGGTAAATAACAAAGTTATCAGGGAAAGAGGAAAACCCTCCTCGGGGCCCGATTTTGGATCCGACGCCCTGGCTCGAAAATCGAATTTTTGAAAATGAAAAAAAACACCGGGGTTTCGTGGATACAATTAAAGCACGTATCGAACAGTGTATGAGAGCAGAATTCTGGAATGATCTGGCTGAAGTTAATGGTTTATTTTGATTTAAAACCCGAAATTAACGTTTTTGAAAAGCCGACTTTGGGGAGCTCTTCTAAATTCGTTTGCCATGAAAAGGTTTGGCATTTGCATGGGTTCTAGTTGACTACCCAAGCTGAGTTTATGCCAAAAAAGTCGGGGCTACTCAACCCTCGAGAACTTTTTTACCTCGTCCCGAATGCGGGTATATTTGGACTTTTCATGAATTTCTTTGGAGAAATTGATGGCCAAATAAATTTTGAAATATAATCTTAGAATGCGCCCATTAAGCATTATTAAATAAAATTGTGACAATAATTCTAGCCACGCAAATGAATTTTATCGACTGGCGCAAAGATCTGCGAAATAGCACGAACCAACCGTTTTGGCGGCGCTAAAAGGCAACCTTCCAAAGGGGTACGGTAGCTAGTAATTGTCTACATGATAGATGGACCCCAGTCCTACACAACCAAGCAAAGAAAACACCTAGGTTCTATCCGGAGCTTTAGAAATATTTTTTCAAAGTTGGGTTTTGTCACTTCGAAAAAAACCATGACCAGGGGGTCGTTGAAAAACTCGAAAAATCACCGATCGCAAAAAATTCTTTGATATGTTTATGTGATAGTATAGAGTATGTCGGCAATACACAACGACTTAGTTTGGGATTTTCGCCATAGGTTTTTTTTAATACTCGAAATTTCCGAAATTTCTCCATACTAAACTTCAGTCCGCAATAACTTTTCAACCAGACCTTAGAAAAATCCTAAATTTTGCATGTATCTATCTAATGCCTACAAGAATCTACGCAGCAAAAATTAGAAACTCCCCACCACAGGCGGCTGAGAAAAATACAAATTAAACTTCCCCGAACGCACAGTTTTCGGGTGTCATTTGTATTGATACGTCGCCAAAAATCGAAAAAATCAAGTTGATCTAAATCGGAGTTCCAGACACTTTTAAGCATTCTGGCATGGTAACGCACGGTGAAATATTCTTCTATCAAAAGTTATTCGAGGCCAAAGTCCGGAACAATTTTTTTGGACACCCTGTATGGCCTGCACGCGGGAAGATGCGGAACGGGCGGTGAACACCTGCTTTTCCGGGGGGGGTTTGAGAAGAGCGATGGACAACGGAAAAGGTATCGGGGAAAAGGGTAAAAGCCGGTAGCAAAGGAACGGGAAAGTGCGTCGATTTTCTCTAGATTTGACGGCACCCGCGACACGCAACGCGTAGGCGCGGCAGCGATTTCCCGTTGCGTAATGTCTAGCCACGTCGCTTGTTTGTCGTAATACGTTACGCAATGGAAATCCGATAACAAGCGACACAAAAACTCGTCAAATAGTCAAAAACGTCAAATAATCTCTGCTAGCCCGCCCTAGACCTAATCAGCCTCACCGATTTTGCGTGTATCACATCGCAGCCGAGCGCCGGCGCAAAGGGCGATGAGGCTCCGGAAGCGGGCTGTCGATTTGGGCATAATTCAGATGGCGGGACAACTCGTCCGTAGAACCCTAAAATACGTATAATCCACGATTGTTTTAATTTAAAAACGAATTTGGTGCTTTTGCATTATCGGGGGAGGAAAGTTGAATCCAATTTTCCTAAGATAAATCAAGAAACCGTTTCTAAAGTTAAATTTTTCGCTATTGAAGCCTAGGACCGTTAAATTTGATTAAAAACACAAAAATATCGATCGTCGAAAAATGCCGATTTGCGAACAAAATATCGAGTTTTTCATTTTTTTGAGAGTTTCAAACACCTGAACCGATGTAATTTTACGGAAAGGTTTATTAAAATACTTACTATTACGTTACAAGGCATTTCAGAAATTGTTAGATGAAAAAATCAGCCCCCCCCGCCGATAATGCAAAAGAACCTTTCCTTTAATAAAAAATTTAGCATTTAACAAGCTTTAGTTTGTTTTTGATGACTTTTAATTTAAAGTACAACAAACCGGTATCAACGTGAATATGTGTATGACGGGGGCAGTGCAGCGTGACGCGTTCCCCATCACAGGCTTGTACTCGATTCGAGGCCAGTGAAGACCACAGGATTTCTAAAGCAAATTTAGAGCAAAATAAAGTACTTTAAGTTCGAAAAGCCATTCCATTCTGCCAAAAAATATCATCGGGAAAGCGGATTTTCGGTAAAAAAACTTGCCTGCTTGTGTTTGTAGACGAAAAGCTATAGGAAAGAAGAATTTTTCGTAATTGTAAAAAAATATCTCTGTTTTGAGTTCGTATTATAATTTTTTAAACTTTTTATTTTCTACAGCCTAGCGTTTTTTAGATAGTATTGGATAGATTTTTAACTTTCTCAAAACTTTACATAATTTCTTTTTATTATTTTTCAAAATGTTGCGCTTTTGCAAATTTTTCCACCCATAAATTTTCGAGTGTCTTGCCCTCGCCGCCAATATTTCGCAATACAGAAATCCCAGGATTTCCAGGTGGGCTGTTACTCAGAGCGATGAGATCGCCCCCTCCGGAATTCCGGAAATCCCCCACTTGTTCCCCGGCCCAGGGCCCCGAAACCCCCCCGGCCACGCGAAATTTGAGCCCAGGAACGCGGCTGTTTTGCACGGAAGATGATGGGGGTTTTTCACGACGAACGGAATCTATTGAGCTGGAATTCTTGGGCTCCAAAATCACTGCGAATTTTCCTCAATAACCACTGCTGGCCGGCCATTTTGGTCGGAAATGGTTGGGGTTATAGGAATCCCTGGAGAATCCATAGCCAGATATTTCCTGTCCATTTAAATCGGCGTTTCAAAGCTAATTTTAATTGTATCAATCTCTAATTTTAAGGCGACTTGTTAAATTTTTCTTTCTCAACCTTTCCATGCCCGGTTCCTCGCCGCAGCTAAGGCTTTTACTTTTTGGCCCCGAGACCCCCAAAGTAATCCAATCTCCATAATACCATTCATCTTGCGGTGAGTGCCCTCCCCCGCTAGAGCCCCCCCCATCGGCTTGTCATCCCGAATTGTCATTTTTTGGGCCGTGAACCGAGAGAGGGTGAGGCCCACCTTAGGGCCCACAACGACAGTTGGCCCCCTAGCTCTTGGCCCACATCATCGGCACTTTGGCTCCCGATTATACAACCGGCACACGGATAGAGAGAGAGAGAGAGAGAGAGAGAGAGAGAGAGCGAGAAACCCCGTGAGTATCTGGTTTCTGGCAGCCAGTGGCAGGCTACCACCACCTGCACACCATTCCCGGGGCCACAAATCAACCTGATTACATGGGGGAGGGCGGATACTCTATACAGTGGATACCTACTAAGCTCAAGTATCTGCCTAAGTGGCCTTAGATATATCGTGCCGGTCCCTTTAAAATTGTAATATGAGTAGTATTGTAACAAAACAAGAATTGTAACATGAGAAAAAATTCACTACCTTCATAAAGTACATCTTCCACTCGTTTCCCATCACTCGACTGAAATTGCAGCAATAGAATAAGCTGCCCAAAAACGGCAGCTCGCATCTCAAACAACGTATTAAAAAAAAATGACGTAGAATATCATTAAGACAGCTACAAAACAAGGAAAATAAAAGCATAAAAAATGATAAATGGCGCTTTTGCATTATCGGGGGGGGGGGTAATTTTTTTGGAAGGATCCAAGTTTTTCTAATATAAAAAGAGGATATCTTTCTAGATTGTTTGTTTTGTCGTTTTTTGTTTTGTTTGTTTCTAGTCTTACTAGACGAAAAATGTGAAAAAACCCAAAATTCCAAAAAACTGCTGAAAAATTGCAAAAAGTAGGGTACCAGCAAGGGAAAAGTTGGGAATGGCGGCTGGCAATAAATTGGAAAGAGGCTTCTCCTCACCCGGGTCATTCTTCCGGATAGAACAGAGCGGGAATACCAAATAAGGGGGTAGATGGAGAAGAAGATGGGACAGAAAAAAACGAGTGACAAAAAGGGAAGGCAAACGATAGCTTTCGATCAAGAAAATCCATAGTAACGCCTTGCCCGTCCCTTTAAAAGGGGCAGAAATAGCAAAAATAAATATAGAAAAATAGGGCAATGAAGAATTTTTGTAGGTGATCAAATTTTCAAATTAAAAAACAGCTCTACAAAAAAATTGATTAGTGCGCGATAATGCGGCGAACAGTCCCTGGGACCCCAGGGCTGGATGGTGGGTCCTTGTCTGTAGTAATTGGGGGAGGGCATGGGCCCTAAGGGGGTGGGGCCCTAGAATCGAGGGAAGGAGGAGGGGCCAGCTGTCCGGCTCTATCCACACACACTCACCTCATATAAACACGTTTTATACCCTCCAACCATCGGGCAGGAGATGGATCCAGTAAAAAAACGTATCTAAAGAACCAGGGCTAAGGTTAAGCCTAAGCTAAGCCTTAGCTGAGCCTACGCCAAGCCTAGGTTGCCAAAGCTAAGCCTAAGCCACCCCTAATAAGCACCGCCTACAGTAAGCCTACAGTAGGCCTAAGCCTGCCTCAAGCCTAGGCCCACGCCTAAAACTAGCTAGAGCCAACCTCATCCCCAGCTAAAAGAACCTTTAAAGGGACCTGTAAGGCTGGAATCTAGGGCTAAGGATTCGCTATCGATTTTGCCGAGCTGCGACTCGCAACGCGCACGCGCTGCTTGCCGGATGTGAAAATCGCCGTAACCAATTACGTCGCGTCAAGGCGGGTGTGCACGTTGCGTGGTGCAGGCGTAACTACAACTACGATACGCAACGCAGGCACAAGTGTTGCGTGTCGCGTAGCATGGCGTAGGGTCTGTAAAATCTAGAAAGACAAAAAATGCAAGCGTTGCAACCCCCCTTCCCCGCCGCTGCCAGGAACCCCTGAAAAATGAGCAATTTCCGATGCGCGGCCCCCAAGCTGCTTATGCCCCCCCCCCCCATTTCGATGAGATTTGTTTATGTTGTGGATTGGGTGGAAGAGGGTGGCCATGTCCCCCCCATCAAGGCCACACAGCGGCCAATTTGGATTAATAAATTGTGGAACGGGAGAAGGCAGAATGGGTCAACCAATAAACGTTGTAGGGCAAAAAGCAAAAACCACGTCTCGGCACCGCGTTTCAACGAATCGGCAATAACATTTACAAATATTAAGGCTAATAATTTAAATCACCAGGCTTTTTTGGAAAACGCATGATCCAAAACTTTGGATCTTTTGCATTATCGTGGGGGAGGGGGCAATTTTTAGTCCAAAAATGCCTGATACCTTAATCGCGAGTTTTTCATAGTTTTTAGTGAAATTTAACTAAACTTCAAGTGAAAAACTATATAAAAAATGCTCCTTTTCGAAATCTAGGCCAAAATCAGCCATTTTAAGTCGAAAAACAATATTTTTATATTTTTGTAATAAAAATTTGCGTTTAGGAATAGCAAAAAAAGTGAAACTCCATTTATATTACCAAAATTAGATCCTAAAAAAATTGCCCCCCCCCCGGTACTGCAAAAGCACCGTACTTTTTTTTGGGTTTTCCTTCGACTTTTATTGCGTAATGTATTACCATTGTTTAAAACAGCTACACGGTGAGTTGCGTATCGCAGATGGCGCCAAATGCACAGAATCTATCGAGAAAAAAACCCACATCAATGCCTTTCCCGTCCCTTTAAAACAAGCCGAAACACCCAAGAACGCCAACAACTCGCTAATTGTATCCATTGCAAGCCGTTCGCCCCCCCTCCCATGACTCATGTAATTGTCCCAAGGCCGCATCTCTCCTTCAGCCCCTCGGGCCGCACGCGATTTTTCCCGAATTTAACGACCATCCGCTTCGTTTTTATTGCCGTCGACCAGCCGGGGGTCCTCGTTGGTCCATCCTCGGCGCTAAACTAGCGGAAAATATGCGGAATCGGCATCTAAGAGATGCATCATCATTGCTGCATCAAAAATGTGTGGAGATCGACGTCTTGAGCGGGTTATTTCGCAAATGCAGCCATATTCAACTCGAAAAATTCTCTAAAAGCTTATAAAATCTTGTAATTTGTTGTATTATTTCTCTTTTTAAGGTATCTTAATCGTCTTATTACTAAAGGATTTAAAAACAATGAATAAAGAAATTAAAAATTTGCATTTTCTGTATCTTTTAAGTTTTTACTAAAAAATTAATTTCTCGTAATTTATGAAGTTTTTATGTTAAAAAGCGTAAACGTTTATCCCCCAGCGAATGAACCACAACCCACGTTTTCACTTCAAAAATTTATACCCAGTTTAATGCCGAGATCAAAATCACAAGATCAGAAATTAAATTCAAGCACAGAATCACTAGTCGCGGCTACAATGCGGCAAAAAGACCTCCAGCTGCCCGTCCGGCAAAAATAGGCCGTGCAGTCGATAGAACCTAAAATAACCCGTACAAGCTGGTTTTTAGGGCTTGCCTATCCTCCCGCAAATAATCCACTTTGACGATGGAATCCAGCTCGCCCATCACTTCTTCAAAGATGTTCGGCTTCGGCCACGACCACACCGGCCTGCAAAAAAAATAAAATTTGATGAAAGGTTCAAAAAAACTTACGTGGCCGTCTCGACAAAATCAACTTCCGGTGCACCGAGTCGTGCTTTTGAGTCCCTATGCCGGAGCAGCATCCTAAACGCCGCTTTTTTGCCGAACGATCTTGCTTTTTCTGGTATTGATTTTGATTCCAATTTTGTTTCTAAGGAACAACTTTTGCTAATATAAATATACAAAGTGTTTCTCAGCCGTTTTTCACCGTTACAAAGGTAAAAATCTTACAAGTTTTTGTAAAAAAAAGGAAAAGATAGAGTTTCGACCAAAAAAGAAAAAAAATGCAAAAATAATCTAGGTTTTTCATCGTTTTACACTTGAAATTTAGTTTAATTATATTAAAAATACTATTAAAATACGTACTATTAAGTTACTACAAATTTGTGAACTGAGGAAACAATTCGATCCCCCGCTAAGGTGAAAGAACCAAAATATACGATTTGCTTGAAGCCAAAAACTAAATTTACCTCGACGGCACGGTGCCAATCTTGTCCTTCAGCCGGGAGACAGGCTGCGATTCGAGCCATTCGAGATATTCGTGAAAGTCTCGCCCAATCTCCTTGTGGCAAACGAGTCTAAAAACCTCTTTTGAAACAACCGACGCAATACAAATTACTCTTCTTTTAACCAGGTTGCCGATTGCTGCGTCTCCTTGTCCAATATCTTGAGGATTGTTGTGAAGAACCTTCGCTCGGCGCTGGAACGCAGGCGCATCCGCTTCCTCGGCTTTACAAACGCCTCGAAAATGTGTGGGCGGTCGAGGATGAAGTCTTCTTGCCAAGCAATCGCGTTGCTGTCGAGGTTTTCACTAAAAACCGGTACACGTCAGAGATATAAACATACCCTATATAAACAAAATCATGCCATCCTTGGGGTTGTTTGGCGACTTCGGCGAGTAATTTCTCTAGGTGATGCTTGGCGTGGGTGCCAAGTCGCGCTAACTAAAAGAAATAGAGATTCTTTAAAAGGAGTAAGAGGAATACCGTGGCAAATAGTTCGATGGAAAGCTCGGTTTTCTTCACTTCAACAACTTGAATCGGGGCAATTGTTGGGAGTGGTCCTAAAAACGTAATAATGACCATTCAAACGTTTTCATACCTGCCAATAATTTTGTGGATTTTGCTGGGCGTATCGCTATCGCGGAACCATGATAATAAGAATGCGTCTGAGTTGCTATAGCATTGACAAGCTTTTTGGGCAGATACATCTTTTCCACGCGCATTTCGACCTAAATCACGAATAAAGTAGAAAGTATAGGCCTTCCTACCTCCGAATTGACCGCATATTGCTCTAGCATTTGTTCTGGGGTCAAGCCGACCTTTTCGGGGAGCACTTCGTAGACTTTTCGATCAACTCGAGTTCCCTCCTCTACCTAAAAAGCGATGTATTTTAGGTACTAAAAACCACCAAAAACGCACCGTCATTCTATTTCGCGATACTGCAATGACTTTTCCGTCACGCAGACTCGTTATACTTTTATCATACGTGTACGCATCTTCGTGCTGATAGACCTAAAATCATGGAATTTAGATTTATTAGCGAAAATCACCTGCGGATGTAATTCCGGCCGTCCAAGTGACGGAACTTGAAACACAAAATTTTTCTTCAAGTACATGCCTCCCTCTTCTAAAATCAACAATTCTTTCTTCTGTTTCAACACAAACCATTAACGCCGAGAAATGGGTGTTCAGCGGATAGCTGGGTGATCGTCCGCCCAATCGGATTCATGCCACTGAAAATAATATTGTAAACTAAAATAACCAGTCTTACGCGTGATCGATAAGACGCATCGGAAATGCGGCCACGGCCCGAATGAACTGAGTAATAACTCGCCGTTCTCCATCGGTTCGGTTTTGACACTAAATCGTGGATTAAAAAAGGTCCCCAACTCACAAATCCACTTTCGGTGTCGTATTTGAAAATGTGCGTCCGAGATCTGATGAAATTCGAGAAGAAGTCCGCGTTGGCGTTGAACAACATCAACTGGTCGGCTTCCTGAGAAGACTGAGAATTAATATAAATTTAATTGCAAACCAGACGATCGAAGAGTGCATCAATCGAAGCCGATCCCTCGCAGAGTAAATCATGGACCTGAAAGACGACAGTAATGATTTTGTATCAAAAAAAATTGTCAGCAATAAGGCGGAAACTCACAAGTTGCAAGCGTTCTGCTTCAGGCCGGTCCAGCTCGTCGAATTGGGCGCACAGCATCCCCGGACCAGGTGAGAAGCCTCCGATATCAACGCGCATCGGAGGGCTATCTAAAATAATCAAAATTCCAAATTAATTAAAGAACCCTTACAAAGAAATTTATCACTTTTAAGATTTTTACAAATCTTTTGTCGAAAAATTACGCCAGCATACAAAAGACGGGGATTACGCGATGAAAAGCGGCTCTTTGAAATTTTTTCGTCATAATTTTTTCAGCTTTATTTAGCAAAAAAACTCAAGTTCTTTTCTTGAAATATCTATTTGAATATGTCTCTATTTAGTTTCCAGATTTCAAAGAGATGCCGTGGCGACAGGTGGTCAGAGTGGCGCTCGCCGCCGGCGTAGCGCTCGGCAAGGGATTCGCAAGGGCCGTGCAACAGGAATTAAAAGGTAGTTCTCCCAGTATTGCAGAAATCTTGATTTTAGCAACAAAACAAGCAGCTGCCACCCAGTCATCACACGCAGGCCACTCCAATTCGGAGGCAAAATCAAACCTGGCCGCAAACGCTCGATTAGGGATTTCGCTGGATGTGAGTTTTTTGAGAACAGGCGTTGATTTTGAGATTCAGGAGTCGTTGCAAATCTTGAACGTCAAAGAGCCCCTGGAAGAGAAGGTTGTACAAGAGCGCTATGATCGCCTATTTGCGCTGAATGACAAGAGCAAAGGAGGCAGCCTTTACCTACAATCCAAGGCAAGCTATTTTGCATACAATTTATCTAGGCTTTTTAGGTTTATCGCGCGAAGGAACGGATTGATGAGGAGTTGATGCGGAGGGAGGAGACCCCACAGAAGAAGGGAAACGGGACAAACTAGACGTGACCCAACAAGCGCACAGAATACGGGTCTTTTTTATAGCATGTGTTTTTCTATTGCTTCTGCTAGTGTTTGATACTCGACTAGTCTACTTTTACGAAACTATGTGATATTTCTATCGTGTTACCGGATAAAAAGTTTATTGCGACATTTGGATATGAAAAATTTACAGTATATAAGCGGGCACCTCGTGGGGGGTAAGATTTTGGACACTAATAAGGCTCATGAAAGGAGGGAGGGGCGGCAAAGTTTCGGGGTGGAGAATCGGAATGGTGGGGAAGAGGGTGAGGGGATAAATCACACATGGGGAAAGGCACCACGAAGGGGAGAAGAAGCACAGCGGATGAGGTGGAACTAGAATGGGGCATGTGTATCACAGTGGGATTGCAGGGGGAAGGCACCAAAGATTTGGGGGAGAAGATACATTATGAATATAAATTAGACCGGGAAATAAATTACAGAGGAGGTGGAGCGTTGCTCAGCGGTGGAGGTTGAGTGGCCATTGGTGGAGGGCTGGAATGGGGGTAACAGATTGTTTGGAAAAGACTTACACAAACATCCCCTCGGTCAAATATCCAGCCGGTCGTGCTCCGCCACCGGGTCCAGCCATGATGGCCTGTGTCCGGGAGGCAGGTAGGAATAGGTCGTGGCGTTGTTCCCTGCAAAAAATTCTCAGCTGATTTTTTCTCGAGGAGGCTAGAGTGCAAGTATTTTAATAGCATTTTTAGCACATTTTAGCTATATTTCAAGCGGAACCGCAATTTAGAAAATCGAGAAAAGCTCTTGAAATTTTTTCTCGACCCCTGGAAATACCAACTCCTGGATAGCTTACTTGTATTGGGCCCAGATAGGGTTAGCGTCGAGTTTCTTCGAGATCTCGATCCCGACCCTCAAGTCCAAGCAGGCCGCTTTCAGGCTATCGACGATCTCAGCTCGGGCGGCAGCTGCCTTTGCGACGCCTAAAAATTAAAATCAATAGTATATAAATGAATCCTTACCAGCCATTGGCGATGCCAGCAACTCCAACAGGAATTCGACGGAACCGGTGGATAGAAGCTGAGGGGCCAGATCGCCACTTTGACGTTGCAGCAGCAGACGTAGCGTGTGCGCACTCTCCCAGATCAGCGCTAAAAGGTTTATTTTCCAAGTGTTAAAATTTCATAATGTAAAAAATTGTTTCAATTTGAAATTTTACAATTTTTTAACCCAATTACAAAAAACAGAATCCGCGAATTTCCTCTACCTGGCTGATTTTTCATCGACAGCTTGATCCCCTCGATGCAGTTGAGCTTGCAGAGCCCGTCGGCGCAGTACTGATTTTCGGCCAGCTGCTGTAGGATGAGGATGGCCGATCGGGAAGACTCGGCGTTCTGGTAGCGGATCGCCTCGCAGAAGTGCTGCAGATAGCCCTGGCCGGGGATCTGAAAAAATTAGAATTAGGCTAATTTGGGTGAGCCTAGAAGCAGGAAATGCTGTCACCAAAATCCCTTCCATATTTTCTACCGTACTTCAACAAATCGGTCGGTCTCTTGATCTCCTTGTGCATTCAAATTTTTAGGAGGTAACCAAAAATGCAGGAGCTACATGGGATCGAGGATCGTTTCGCTGAGTTAAAGCGGCAGTGCGCTCGAGATATCGATAAGGTAGAAAGCGTGGGCGCTCTAAGCTTTCGCATTTTAGATGTACGCCAGTCTCATCTGCGTCGAATCCCGCATGGACCGACGTGTGCAAGAGGTTCGGGATCTTTCGCTTTAACGGGCAATTTTTCGAGAAAGTTTTCGGCTCCTACATTGTAAAAAGCTGCAGTCTAAGAAACCCACGTCCCTTACGTTTGAAAAAACCGCCTAGAAACCGCGCCGATATTGGAGTCCTGAGAAAAGTCTGACCCCCCCCCCCACCCCTATATAGCAAAAGAACCGAGATTCGAACAATGACTTTCTCACGACATTTTTAGGCAAACATGCGTCTTTCCGAGAAGCAATCCACCCTTGCGGTTTCGCCACAGGTATCCATAATCCCAATTTTTTTAAATAACAAAAAAACCTAGAACTCGTACAAAGCCGCGGCGAGTGCCCTGCCCCAAAAGCTCTACGGCACCATCGAGCTGAGGGAGGCCATCAAGCAGGTTGGGCTACACGCTGACTCTTGAGTGGCTTTTCTTTCAATAGGCTCGCCAGCTGCTGACCGCCATCATGCCCGAGCTGAAGTCGGCGGTAGAGTACGTGCGCACGCCGTTTGTCCGCGAGGAGATCGAGGCGTTCATCCGTCGCGCCGACAACATGCACATCGTCTTCCGACAGCTCGTAGAGATCAAGAAGCCCAATGGGCAAGTGACGTTTAGGAGTCTCGGATGGAAAACTCTGACGACGAGTCGCGCTTCATGCGTCGCCGGCATACGAAGAGCGAACCGGCGGAGAGGAAGGTGATGATTTTAGATTTTGACGTCACGAACATCCGGTTTTTTCACTATCGAAATCTCATAGGTCGAATTTTTCGGAATGGCATTTTGCTGCTTCCCGAAAGATTTCTCATGCTAAAATTTTCGACATTCTGAGCAAATCCGAACATTCCCAATTCAGGCCATTCCCGACCGTGGCTCGTGCGCTCCGTACGAAGAGCAGCGCATGGCTCAACACGTCTCCACCTCGCTGGACGACTAGACAACGACACAAGGCACCGGAATTAACGAAAAAATACTCATTCGCCGAAAGCAAGGCATTTTTGGGAATAAATTTTCAACGCTACGCAGGGGCCCATTAATAAAAAAACCAACCGAATCCGCGGTGCCCGGATGGCAGCGCATCAGCTCGACGAGGGCAGACGTGATCATCGTGAGATCCTTGGTGGGGCGCCGCATTTGTTCCAGCACCTATGAAAATTATGAACCTTGGTAATTTTAAAACCTTGTCGATGAGCTCGGAGCAGAATTGCCTGGGGTGGCGCACCGCCCAACCAGGATTCGCGAGGTACAACCGAACAAAGACGCCAGCAATCACCAGCTCCCCTGAAAAAAAAGAACCATGTTAAAGAGACACACCTAAACCCGTACCTGACAGCGTATCCGCGTAAGCACACCAAGTCTCCTTCGCCACTTCCGTCGTATCCCATTTGGTGCTCGGGGTCTTGCTCTGCTTCTCCATCAAATCATCGCGCTGCGTCTTCAGCAGGTTGAACACCTGGAAGGAAAATAATATAAACTTCAGAAATAAATTACTTTTTTCCTCGTCTCCTCGTTCCAGATCAACTCCGGGTTCTCGTTGTTGGAATCAAGCATCGTCAACCTGAACCCAATACATGAAAAACAAAGCATGCATACGCTGTATTTGGAGAATCGCGAAGAGCATCCGAGAAGATGGGTGGCAAGAATTTATTGATGAACCTAAAAAAGCGTCCTTTTTGATAGGTCGTTTTTACCTAGTCCATCTGGGACCGGTGAGCTTGTCGGATTGTAGACGAGCAAGAAGTTCGACTGAGAGCAGTCTTTCGGGTCCCGCCACGTCGGCACGATTGGCTTGTAGAGTGATGCAAAGGATGTAGAGTAGCCCGCCTAAACCCGTAAAATAACCAGGTTGCGGTCATACCAAAGTCCAAAATCTCCTTGACGAACTGCCCGTTCGACGTGAAAGCGATCAAGATGGAAAGAATCGTCGGTTGCTCTAAACAAATTGAATCGGATAATCAAAGTTTTTACAAACCATTCAGGCTCGATGCTAATAGAGCGAAGAGCGTCGTGCACACGCTAACCGTCGCCACGTCCGAAGCACATTCCTTGTTGGAAGAGGCCAGAGATAGGACCTTCAGAGCAGCACGTTGCAGATCGGGGCGGCTGTTGCAGCGGAGGTACCGCTTCAGCATGTTGAAATGGCCGATCAACAGCACTTCGACGCCTGAAAAATGTTCGTGATTTCGAGCTTCTTTACATACCTGGATTCGCCACAAGCACATGGTTCAACGCCGTCAAAGACATCAAAACACGGTTCTCGGCCGTCAAGCCGGTGCTGCCCTAAACGGAAATAGAAGATAGTTGCTAATCTGTTTTTTCATACCACTGGCGCTCCCCAATCGACATCGATGTCAATCAAGTCTCCGTTGGTCTTCGGCTTCATCGGGGCACCGCACAACTCATCAGCGCGTTTCCCAATATACTCCAGCAGATCGGCGCCAAAACCTTTTGCATCCTATAAACGGTACATTTTTGATAGCTGAATATCTTCTGATAATATGATAACATGGCAAGGAAGTGCAAGTTCGCATACATCAAGCACAAATGACGGCTGCTCGTTGTAGATGCGGATGAAGACGTCACCGACAATCAGCTCCTTTGCGTATATTGTTAACGAGAATTCGGCCCCGAACAGCTCGCTCTAAAAAGCAAGGTGTGATCGCCAAGATTTTCAGCATACCGAATTTTTGCCGGCATTGCGATGGCGATCGACAAATTCGAGTAATTCGGCACGGGTAGCGTTGTCCCAGATGAGATATGGGTTTTCCGTGTTGCTGTTCAGTGTTTTTAGGACCTAAATAGACAATAAAAGAGTTATAAGAAACAGGCAATACCAGATCACATTCGCCGTTGCGCATCAAACGGGCCGCATATGGCGTCAGCATCGCACGCACGCTACGCCGAACACCGTCATTTTCCGGGCAATTTTCTCTGAAAAAAAAAGCTGTTGAAAAGTCCTTTTTAGGTGATATTAAAGTTTTGCGGTATCACCATTTTTCCAGCTTCAAATTCTGGACAAATCCCACCAAATGGTCCTAAAAATGAGTTTTCCCATCTGTCATCTTCTTTTCCTCCCTTCTCGAAGCCGTTAACGTTCGAAAATTTTTGAAAGATGAGACCTGCTCAGAAGTGCAAGCTCTACAGAATGCGCCACATAGCAAAAACTCCAAATGCTCCCTTAGAAACGACCGAATGTTAGAGAAATTCGGCCCGGACAACGTACCGGTAACCGGCCAGCGACGCAATTGCCTCTAGACAAGCTCGCCCGAGCCGATTCGCCTGTGCCTGCTTGTTGCTGCTTTCGTTGTGTTGGACGCCGCCCTCATCAAGCGTGTGGTCGAAATGGAAAATGTGAGGGATCAGCTGCCAGAGAGCTCCATTCTAAAGCACGATTAGATGCTTCAGATGCAACGATCACCTGGAATATTTGCAATTGCAGCAATGTTTCGATAGACATTGCCGTGATGGCATCGGCTGCGGCAATGGCCAGGGACGGGATGGTCTACAAAAATATGATGGCTAATATGATGGAATATTTGCTATACCGAAAATTGGAGTAAATAGTAGAGATTGTCGAACACCGAGGGCATTTCGGCAATCTTGTAGCGACATCCTTCAAATTGGGAAGCGGTGGCCAGGCAGTAGCAAATTTGCTCGCACACCTAAAGTACAGCAGCCTCTCAAAAAATAATCATACTCACCTGTACGGGCATGTCTTCACTGGTAGCACTTTGCTTTATCATGGGGCTGCACCGATCAAAGGCCACTTGCAAAGCCTAAAACTCTGAATCTAGATGATGTTTCAAACGAACCTCCAACCCATTTTCCCGTCTCAACTGCTCGGCATTCAGCGGCGAGCTGGTCAGCGTGTACTTGGCCAACTCGATGGCTGCAGCTAACAGGGCACCTCCACCCTAAAAACGGTTATTATTGAAGCCAAAAAGCTGTACCTTTTGGAACAACTGAGCATCTTTTGCTTCGAGATCGATCGTCTTGATCAGCTGACCGTAGCCGGCGTATTTGTACTCGCCCAGTTCTAGAAAAAGAGATGAATACTTCAGTAACAATTTTGTTTTTTGTACCTTTCAAATGGCGGCCGTAGACGATGCTCTGGGCACGCAGACAGAGCACAATCCGTTCAGGGTCCGGCATGTACATCCTAAACCAGAGAAAATTGTCGTTATTAGATTAGATTTCAATTTTAAAGCTGAAAGCGCTCACTTATTCCTATCGGAACTGAGCAGTTCGTATGCCGTGCCGATTTGGTGGAACTTGTCGCGGTCGTTCACGTCGGGATTCTAGAAAAATTTCAACCATTAAGCCGAATTTACCTTATCCGGGTGATATTTCAGGGATAGCTTCAGATAGGCCCGTCGGATCGCAGCCGGATCCTTCCAACTAAAAACATTTTACATAAAAATGTGATGTTTTGATACCCTTCGGTATTTGGGTCGAGTCCAAGTGTTTGACAGGCCACCTCAAGGCTCATCGCCGGGGGCTTACGATCGATTTCTTCGTGCCAGGCGGCTAGGCATGACCGAAGGAAAGGAACCTAAAGAAAGTTTTTGCCGTGGTTAAGCCCTAAAAAGATCAACTTTTATTTTGGTTGTATGTGAGGGGCTGGAATGGATAGCTGCCCTGAGAGAGGCATTCCGCGTGTCCCGATAGCTCAATTGGTAGAGCAACGCCTCGAAAGCCGTGAGGAACGGGTTCGACCCACGCCCGGAGCACTTGCTTTGCGGATTGGACCCGGAGCGAGTCCATGGCCATGGGACCAAGAATTCCCAACTTTTTTATTTTCTTTTGATACAAGTTCACGAGCAATTACCGGATCGCGAATCGGCCAGTCCGGGAATCGCTGCCGATCGCATAGGTGTCGTAGGTAGTAGACGTGGCAGAAGAGCTCATTTTCCAGCTCCGGATAGTCGACCTCATTGATTGGACAAAATGAGTAGAGGGCCTAGAAAAATTTGAATTAAATTCCGGATTAAAAAAAAGTACCTTGACATTGCTCGTCAACCGGTGCGAAAATTCCCCAACGTGCACGGCGACGCGGCCAATAAGGTGGCGACGCATCTCGTTATTCCAAATGATCTCCGGGTTGTCGAACTCTCCGAGGAACACCTAAACAGCGCTGTCTAGCAAGCTAGCAACAAAAAGCAAAATTAACAAACAAAGTTTTCAGCTAAAAACCCATTAATACCTCTGCATATTTTTCAGGACCGTAGTGTTCCAGGTAGAAGATGGCCGCTTCGGGAAGTAGCGGTGCCAAAACGGAATGCGTGCCTTCGAATTTCGGCTAAAAACAATCATTTTCCATTGATCAAAGACATACCAAAGTGCTCCTGAAAGCCTGCTTCTTATGCGTCATATGCAAAAATCGAGCGATTTGCAGAACGTTAGACCTAAAAAAGTTTTCCCAGAAAATTTTGAGTTCAATACCCGTTGTACATAAGGATGAAGAAGAAGACGCCAGTAAGATAGAGAGACGGAAGTCCGAGATTGTCCTGCATAACCAGGCTCAATAGCTGAGCCACCCGTTGGACGATGCTTGATTCGTAGGTGAGAAGGAGTTGGACGATGCTCTTCAGTTGGGTCGGTTGGGCGAGGTGAAGCTTCACCATGGGCATCGGGCGGACGACGCAGCCGTTGTCGTCCCTGTAATCCGAAGCTGCATAATGTGCCGTAAAATCCCCAAAGTACCATTAAAATTGGAAAACCCGGAAGGCAAAAGGGTGCTGGTTCAATAGCAGGGGGTTTATGATCGAACACCTAATTTTTCCAATATTCCAGCATATGTATTTTCGTTTGAAAGCATTTTAATGACAGCTTAAGCTCTTTCATTTATCAAAAGTTCACACATCATCAAATAGTTCAAAATAAAAACTTTTTAATCAAAACCCGATTCAAAATTTTTTACTGAAGACAAGACGCCATTTCACCCCCTTCCCCGTTAACGAACCAGAACCGGCAAAGGGCCTTTTCATGCTATACCTCTCAGTCCGTGGTGCGTCAATTCGGCAACACAATCTACTGGTCTAGTTTTCATGAGCGCCTGTTCGGCAAAAAAAAAACAAAACAAAAAAACGCGGGGTAAGACAAAAGGGCCCGAAATCCCTGCGATACCTCGATGGGAAGAATTCGCACATCTGCAGCAGAATATCGAGCGAAATGATGGCTAGCTCGCTGAAGTTGTACAGAATTGGGCCAGCTGATTTCTCGTCGTTTGTGGCACAAACCTAAGCAAAAGAGCTATAGAAAACAACAGTCCGAACCGTCCATCGGAACTGCGGCACCTTCTTCAATGCATCCCAGTTATCCATTCCGGACGCCCAAATGTATGTGTCGGCGGTGAGCGTTTTTTCCTCGAACATTTCCTTCATCTATAGGAGGAATTTTTTTCGAGAGCCAGCACAAATTTCAGATTTTGTATCGACATTTCGAAAACCAGAATGATGAAATACATAATGTTGGCATAAACAAATCTACCAGAACATCTCCAGTAGGACTTACCAAAAACCTCGGAATTATGAAGTTAAATTTAAAAAGTTCTTTTTTTTGAAAAAGCTGTGTTAATTTAACTATTTAAAAACATTGGTATTACGAACTTTACATTTTGAAAGAAAGCACAAATTTAATACCTTCTCGAACGAGAACGGGCCATGCTGCTCGTCTTTCCCTTGTCGGTAATACCATTCAGTGGCTCCTTCTTTTCCAGTGTCGGTAGACGCTTCGATGAGATTACTCTGAATTCAAAATAAATAATATTTGTCGCTGGAATCTAGTAAAGCAAATTACCCGCTGAGAAAGACACCAAAATAGTTTTACCTGATTCTTCAGTACTGCTCGATGGGTGTGCAGATGCGCTAGCGTCGCCAAATCAACAAGATGCCGGACGATATCCGCGGCCAAGAGTTCCCGGACGTTTGCTTTGTTCAACACGAGCTTGCTCAGCAAAAATAACTAAAAACTAATTTACTTTTTGTAGGTTTTGATACCAAATGGTCCCGCTCGGCCACAGCAATCGTGGGGTTTTGGAGTACGGTGACGAAATGGTTGATGTCGGCCACAGGGCCGATCGTCATATGGTGCCGTCCGTATGAGATTGCCATTGCCTAGCAAGCCGTATACCTCCAAAAACAAGATATTCACTTTCAAGCATTGACATCGCATTTCACTCCGTTGGGCCAGCAAATAACGATGGTAGACATTGTTGAAAAATTCCACCCTAAACAATATTACAGTATCAAAAATATTGCGTACGGATTGTGAATTGGAGTGGCGTTTTCATCAGTCTCCGATAGCAGTTGCCGAAGAAAGTAGTCGCCGACACGGATTTCGTTGGCCAGACTCTTATAGGCGACGGTGAATTCAGTGTGATTCCAGCTGATTAGAAGGCCAGAGGCCGCCTCCTTCTCTGTCTTTAGAATACGCTTCTCATTCTCGATCGCGCTCCTAAGTCAAATTTCAAAGAAAAAAAACTTTGACGGTACCTAAACTCTCCACGCGTTTCCTCGTTCCAGATGAGATTTGCTTTGCAGTGGTTTTGTCCAAATTCATAGGCAAATAGCTTCCAATTGACCGTTGGTCTGACACGTGCCCGTCTTCTTCTCAGCACGACAATCCCTTTGTCTTTTCGTGGCTAAAAAGATAGCTATTTCAGCTGAAACGACCGCTTACATCTTCTTTAGCCGGTATCAGCCTGAAGTTGAGCTTCTTTTCCAAATCCCAGTTATGGATGAAGCGCTCGAGGTGGGCTTCGGCAGCATTTCTAAATTCCAAAATGCGTTTCGCTCAAAAATTTTTACCTCATCCCTTCCATTCTCTCAAGGATGGCATTCCTGCGTTGCAGCTCGTCTGCGGCCTCTTCGAGGTTATTCCTCGGCAAAAGCAAGTCGGCTTCATTCACAGGGACCTCAGCGTCCGATTGCAGAAATTCCAAGAGCCCACGCGGCTAAACAAATCGTAAAAAGTTCTTTAAAGCAAACACACGATGGATCTGTTCATCAAGTCGTTCGCCGAATGGTTGTCGACAAGCCAAAGGCTTAGCAAATGGCCAGAGAGCTGCTTGTTCGTTTTCACCTGAAAATATATGGTTTTGGCTTATTTCGTGCATCATACTCTGAGATCATTGCCAGTAGCGAGGAGTGAGAATTCGAGGTGCGCCAGGAAAGAACCCTCGCTGAGCGCCAGAATTTGCATAGCTTTTGAAGTTTCGACATCGGCTTCTTCGATAATGGCTCGCATCACCATGCCGGCACCTAAAAGCGGTTAGATGAAGTAGATCATTAAATGGCTCGCCTTTGATTATTGTCATACTCGGCGATTGAAATAGCGTGTAGAAACTGCGTCCACGAGATGCGACAAGTCTACAGGAGGTTAGATCTCAACTAAAGCTCTTACTTCAAGATCACGTCGAATGTGTCGCCCTGCGTGGTCTCGGAAAACGGAGCGCAAACGGCATACGTCAGAAAATCGAGCATAGAAGCAATGACAAGCGAACCTGTGTTTCTTTCCTAAAAAGAATTCAAGTCAATAAACGCGAGCTTTACCACATGCTTCACAATCAAATCTAGAAGATGCTCCACAAATTGAGAGCTAGAGAGTAGGCTTTGCTTGTTCAGCTGTTCAACCCTCAGCTCGTAGTGGTTGTGCATAGGCCTCATCAAGGCGCAAATCGCCTCGACGATGGCATAATCGACAGCCTAAAGAATTTATGGTAGAGCCATCCAGCCCTTACCTCGTTTTTCCATTGTAAGCATCGCACGACCAAATTTCCAAACTTCTCGCGAATCCCTGGAACCTCAGTGAATGCGTGGAAGCCACTTTTTTGAGGCGAAGAGCCTTCGGATGCACTGGAACTGCGATTCCACATGATGGACAGCGCTTAGGTCTTCCTAAAAAAGATCTCTTTTGCGCTGCATTTTAAACCTTTGTATACTGCTCCAACAGCACGGCCTCCAGACACTGCACGATCACTTTGCCCTTGTTTTCGGTAAAGAAGCCCTAAAATAAACAGGTCAACCTCTTCATAGAAGTTCCTACCTCCTGATTGACCGCGTAGGTCAGCCCGTTGTAAGGGATGTTGGCATTGAAGCGTCGTATTAGGTGACGCGCTTGAGACCGGCTAAAACGGGGGTTAATTCGACAAATGGCAAGAACTGACGTGTCGGTGCAATAATGTGTCTCATTAATTGGGACTCGGCATCTTCATCCAGCAATCCATGCAACGGAAGAAGCCGCATCGAACGATCAAAACGGTGGCCGATGACAAAGACCTGAACGAAAATTTATTGCAGTCTCGAAAAGTACTACTAAAATTGCTACTAACTTTGCGCTTGCCAATTTTTTTATTTGCTCTATTTTTACCTGATTGTTCCCTCCAGCTCGGGCTCCATCAACCAAAGACGCCAAAATGAGATCACGATCCGGGGCCGAGTATTCAATCTCGCGACCGTCGCGCAGTTGGACGACGAATTGTTGTGGATCTTTATCCAAGCGGACCAGGCAGACGATCTAAAAAAACCTCTTTCTTCTCCAAAGCAATGCCCCTCACCTGATTCAGAGGTGTCGCACAGATCACGTGGTAGCTGCTCTGGTCTCTTTCAATCAAGCAAACTTCCGAAAGGCAGAGCAAACGGCGTGCACTCGGGACATGACGTGGAGAGAATTTTTGCACGTTGAATTCCACGTATGACGTTAGCCGATCGTCCCGGCTAAAAATATATTTTTATAGCTTTGAACGGTCTGCATACCTGCACAGACCCAATCTAGTTAGACGCGCGTCATCCAAGCTCATCGCTTCTCTTGCTAGAGGAATCGCGATTCCGATATTATCCATAGCCCATCTTTTGGCTTCTTCCAAAAATGCGTCACAATCTTTGGCGGCGAAAATATGCTGCAAAAACGTTTAGATCCTAAAAAAGCCACAAACCCGTCTTCGATGCTCCCCACATTCGATCACGAAACCGCCAGGACAATCGTGAAGCTAAGAAAGTTCAATAGTAAAATTTTCGATGAAGCATACCTTGGTAAAGCCACGAATATTTTTGAAGAAATAGGTGGTGATGGGGGCGCCGTTCCCATTCAGCTGCTCGATGCCATAAGGGACCAGCCTCAAGCGAGTCGGAACCCTGTTGCCTGTCCATTGTTCTTTTACGCCGGTGGCAACCTAAAATTAAGTAATCAAGGATTCCCAAGCGGTCGGTTACCATCAGTTGTGTCGGTCTCTCTGCGAAATGGACATATTTCTTGAGGCAATCGGTGATGATGTCGTGTAGGTGATCTGACGAGAATCGCATGCTATCACGTTTATCCTAAAAAACGGCATAAACGCTAAATGATCCTGCGCACCTTCTTCCGGTAGTTGATGACAAATTCATCCTGCGTGTTGTTGGCATTCCTTGGAGAGGGTCGGATCGAGATGAAGTCTTGGTACATCCATTGATTCGTTGCTTCAAGCGTCTGTGGGTTGTACGTGGTCACGCAGTGAGTACCGACCGAGAAGACTCTTTTATACCTAAAAAAACGCTTTAGAATAAAGTCTAGGACTCACTTTCCCTTCCAAGAGAGCTTCGTCACCAGATAACACGCGACGTCGCGGTTTTCTGCGCAAAAGCTCGCCGCCATTCGTTGGGCACTCGCATGCGGCGGGGCCTTAAAATGATAAAAATAAAATCAATAAAAGGTAAAAATAAGTGAGAAAAACGGAATGAAAAACAGCACAGAACAATGCCTTCATTTTATTCGATAAATTTTATAATTTATCAAATAGAGTGAAGTACCCCAAAACTGGCTTTTAGATGAAAAAAAGGGGTCCAATGTCTAATTGTAAATTCACCTGTGAATTTTTCACCTGCAAATTTCCCATTTTTCGACAATAAAGAGTCGATTTTCACCCGGAAGTCGAGAAAAACTGACGAGAAAACCAATAAATCCTGTCACCCCTATCCAGTGCACCCACCCATACCGTAACGCACCCTCCACTGCCCCCGAGCCGGTTTTCAGCCATTTCGAATTATTTTCTGTTCATCACCGATCGAGCCCCATATTATCGCCGAACGGACATTCGAAACGATGATCATCAATACCGAAGGAGACTGGAAGTCAACGGTCAAGGCACCGCCCAAGGACTTGCGCATGAAGACCAAGGTTTGCTGAAAATTTCACCTGGCCATTACCCCCGTTTTAGGATGTCACCTCGACAAAGGGACTCGAATTCGAGGATTTTCAACTGAAACGCGAGCTGCTCATGGGCATCTTCGAGAAAGGCTGGGAGCAGCCGAGCCCCATTCAAGAGGCCTCAATCGGATTGGCGCTGAAAGGTTTGATCCTGCAACTTTTGTTTATTTTTGTGATTTAGGGCATGATGTGCTTGCTCGTGCGAAGAATGGTACCGGGAAGACGGGCGCTTTCGCGATTCCGCTCATCCAGAAGCTGGACGTGAAGTTGGACAAGATTCAAGGAATGGTCATCGTGCCGACCCGCGAGCTTGCCCTTCAAACCTCGCAAATTTGCATGGAGCTTAGCAAGCACATCAACGTGAAGGTCATGGTCACCACGGGCGGCACCGATCTACGTGAAGACTTGATGAGGCTGAGCGGTGTGGTCCACCTCATCGTCGCTACGCCCGGTCGCATCCTGGACTTGACCGAGAAGGAAGCAGCTGATCTGTCCGAATGCAAGACTGTCGTCTTGGACGAAGCAGATAAGCTGCTCTCGCAAGACTTCCAGGTATTCCGAATACTTTTTGCTATTTAATGTTTTGATATAGGGCGTGCTGGACCGCCTTTTCAAGTACCTTCCCAAGAAGGAGGATCGCCAGACCATGCTTTTTCGGCCACCTTCCCCAACATCGTGGAATCCTTCATGCAGAAGCACATGACCAACCCGTACGAGGTCAACTTGATGGAGGAGCTGACGCTTCATGGCATCACGCAGTACTACGCCTACGTCCGCGAAGGGCAAAAGCTGCACTGCCTCAATACCCTATTCAAGAAGGTATTTTTTTTTTTATTCTCCGGCAATTTATTTAGTTGCAAATCAACCAATCCATCATCTTCTGCAACTCTACCCAGCGTGTGGAGCTACTCGCCAAGAAGATAACCGAAATCGGTTATTCCTGCTACTACATTCATTCGCGCATGTTCCAACACCATCGCAACCGGGTCTTCCACGACTTCCGTCAAGGCAATTGTCGCAACCTTGTTTGCTCTGATCTCTTCACTCGCGGTATCGACGTCCAAGCTGTGAACGTGGTCATCAATTTCGATTTCCCGCGAAATGCGGAGACTTATCTACACAGGATTGGAAGGTAAATTTTCCTTGTCTCTCTTCGAAACCAAATTCTAGGTCGGGCCGTTACGGACATCTGGGCCTTGCCATCAACTTTGTCACTGACGAGGATCGCACAAACCTGTTCCGTGTTGAAGCCGAGCTTCGCACCCGCATCGCCCCGATTCCGAGAGAAGTCGACCCGAAGCTTTACGTTGCCGAGCACCAAATCGTTACAAGTGATGAGGACAGGACGGACAGCCCATAATCTCTTGATTTCATGGCTTCTTGTTGTTAGTTTGTCTTGTACTAATTATTTGTAACTTTGTAAAGTTCCTCCAACGTTTTCATTTTGCTTGCCCGACGACCTTGCACATGCACTTTCAAGCGTTTCTTATTCGTTGTAAGTGTGATATGCTATGGTTCATTTTATTCCCCATGTTTGCGAGTTCTTTGCAAATGTTTCTCGAAACAGTTCTTGCAATAAATTGTTTTTAACCGACGACAAGAAGCAGAAAAAGCGCAAATTGTAAGGTGCACAGAACGGTTTCAAAAGATATCTCAAAGGCTAAATAGAGCTTATTACGTGCAATAGATTGGCGATAGTAAGGAAAGGTAACGGGCTGGTGACTGTTTGACAGTGCCACCGGGGGCTCACTATTACGGCGTGGTACTCTAGGCTCGTGCTTAGTAGCCCATTGCATTTCCCGTCGTGTCGTTGCCTTGCTTTTGGGACCAAGGGTCCATATTTTCAGCAGCTTCGGCCGACGACAAATATGTCTACACGTCTAGCGCGACTTTGGCAGCCCGGGAATCCACAGAGACGGGTACATTTGTCTTTGAGTTGATTTACGGACATTTTAGGTTTTCCTGCCGGACTTTTGGTTGACCCCGGTCGAGACTCCGGAAGTCGGGCGGTACCGCTTGCCGACAAACTGTGTGAAATTTGAGGTTTCTTGTCTTCGCCCGGATCAACCAGATTTTTAGGTTGATACCCGAATGAGCCGGCACGATGTACGCGAATATTTGACAAAAATTTACAAACTACCGGTGCAAGATGTGAGGATTGAAATGAAAATGGGCGAAATCTCGTGGCAAAACAAGAAGGTATTGTTATCATCGCAAATTAATTTAGACTTTAGGATCCGCGATATAAAACGGCGCTATGGAAAGACGAGGACAAGAAATTCGCCTACGTCTATATGGATAAGAAGTTCACGTTTGAATGGCCGAAAATGTTCGAAATCGACGACGAGATGAGCCAAATTGAGAAATACAAGGTTTGATCGATAGCTATTGTTTTTGTAACAACTGTTTTTAGAGCCAGATAGAAAAACTACAGCAGAACGCTCGATTTGTGAACCGGGATCGGGCGAATGTTGGAGAATTCTTCGGCTTATAGATTCGTTGGAGATTAGGATTCTGCAAATAAATATTTTTGAGAGATTATCAGATAGAGAGATATTATCAAGAGACAACTGTTCGCTGCATTCTATCTGCAAGTTGATGAACGTGAATAACACTGTCACAGGGCGGGCGACGCAGATGACGGACGCACAGTACGCTCCTTTCTCAGGAGCGCTAGTGAGGACGTTGACAGACAAGCTCTATGACAAGAGAAAGGCGGCCGCGTTAGATGTGGAAAAGTGGGAATTCAGCTTCTGAAAAAAATTAGTTTGTAGGACCGTTCGCGACCTCCATGCCCAAAATCAAAACACGCAGGTGGAGAAGGCTCTGATCGTCTTGCGAGAGCTTGTCCTTGCCAATGTTGGCAATACCCGTAAGGGAGGGCTGATTGGCATGGCAGCTGCGGCTATTGCGTTAGGAAAGGTGAGGACAGGCCATTATTCACAGTTTTTGCAGAATTCGTCGAACTACTCTACGCAGCTGATTGAGCCGGTCCTCGACTGCTTTAACGATCCAGACCTCCAAGTCCGATATTATGCGTGCGAGGTAAGCCTAGAAACTATTTTAATTATTTTACTATTTCAGAGCCTCTATAACATTATCAAAATGTGCAAAGTATCTTGCCTCCTACATTTCGAGCAGATATTCGATGTACTCTGGAAAGTATGCTGCCTCTCGGGATTGCCTTTAATTTTTTTTAGCTTTCTTCGGATACAGAGCAAAACGTTCGAAGTGCAGCCGAACTACTGGATAGACAAGTGATGGTAAAGGCCAGCACAGTTGGCGTGAATTCGTAAATTTAGGATATTGTGTGTTCCAAATCGGACTTCAACGTAGCGAATTTGATGGGTTTGATTCGTGGGCGTATCTATGTGCAAGTATCATCGAATCGGCGTTTTCTCGTGCAATGGGTAAGCCTCGTCGTCGCGATCGTACGCTGAATTTAGTTGAACGTACTATTGACAACACCAACCTTTTCTTGCCTTCCATTCCTTTCGGAGGTCCTGGATGGATTGTTCAAGATGCTCGGTAGATTTCGTTCCATTTCAGCCAATGGAATTTAGGAGATCCGCAAGCCGCTGTCCGTGATTCTACCGAAACCGTGATGGGCCAATTCCTTCTGGGAATCAAGAACAAACCCGAGTCAATTGCTGATGTAAGGGTTTCCTTTGAAATCCAAAGAATTTTATGGTTATACAGGATGATCTTCTAACCCTGATCAACGTAATCTGCGTCCATTCACACGAGGAAGAGCCACCGCTATCACGAAAAGTAGCGTTGATCTGGATGCAAGAAATCGCCAAGTAAGTGGCTGTCTATTTAACTTCATCCGAAAAATAGGTTGTACAACACAAAGCTGCTCCCACAATTGGCCGTATGCTTGGTGGCAATATTGCCGGCGTTGGCGGAAGATGCGTTAAATGGTAAGTGTATATATCATACTTTCTCTCAATTTTATTTAGCTAAAATCGTGAATACCACGCTGCTTGGAATTATTGAACCCGATGTGGATATGAATATGGAGGATCTGGTCCAAGTAGGCACTTCTCAATTATTGTACAAAGATCTTCAGATCTTACTGAGGCATCTCCGACATCCAGTACAGGAGACACGGCTTGCTTCACTCAACTGGATCCGGCATCTCCATGAAAAACAACCCAATCAGGTTGCTTTGGTGATTTTTAAATTAATTATTTTGTAGCTCTTCTCGCATATGGAATTGATCTTTCCACAACTGCTAAATTCGCTGTCGGATACCAGCGATGAAGTGTTGCTGCTTGATCTACACTTGATATCCGATCTTTGCGCTCACAAGTAAGCATCCGATGACTTCTGAAGCTTACGGTTTTAGACAAGATTCCGCAACAGAACTCGGCAGCCTCGATCCGAAGACCAAAGAGCAGGTGAATTGTTATGTGCTTTTTTCTATGTAACTTCGTCAGCTAGCAAACCACTCGAGTCTACTCGTCAAGTTCGCTATTTCGCTGATTGCCATGTTTCGTGCGGACCGCCAATTGTTGAGCGATAGGGGTGTACTAATTATAAGGTAAAATCCTCTCTTGACTACCACTTCCTTCCAGACAATTGTGCTTGTTGATCGAGCCGACTCACATCTACAGATGCCTCTGTGTGTTACTCATGGCCGAATCGGGCGTAGCGTTTGTACAAAGTAAGGTTATTTTTGCTTGAATCAAGCCTACTTCTATTTAGGTGTGGTATCGGTGCTTCATTCTGTCCTAATGACGTCTACGGAGCTGTTTTTGATGCGCGATCAATTGCGGAAAATGCCGGATGAGGTTTTACACAGGCTCAATTTTCGAAGCTCATTTAGGAGACTGCTGCATTATTTTCAACAATCTACAAATGTTGGGCTATTCGTCCCATTTGTCTTCTTGGACTATGTCTGCTCACTCAACAGTACACTCATGCCGCAGAGCTCGTGCATTATTTGTCGGAGGTAATTTAATGAGCCGAACTTACGATATAGATTCTTCTTTCAGGTAGACATCACCGTCGATATTTTGATGGAAGTTGATAAGCTTGTCAATTTGATCGAGAGCCCGATATTGGCTTGTAAGTAGTTATATTAAAGCAAAAATCCTTTCTCTCCAGTCGTTCGTATGGATCTACTACGAGCCTGTCATCGGGAGCCTCTCTGCGATGTGCTAACAGCTTTGTTGATGTTGCTGCCCCAGACGGAGGCCTTCAATACCCTACACAAGCGCATCCAAGCCATCCCCTCGTTTAGTACTTTCAAGTAATTCTATTTTCATTTTACAATTGTCTTTTGTCCAGGAAAGACGCTCCACCAGCCGACAAATTCAACCTGGACTTGTCTGCTTTGAAGAATCTCTACATTGATTCACTGCAGAAGCAACAAAAAGAGGTTATTTACCTTCTTGAGCAAAGATTATTTATTTTGAAGGTCCGTGAGCGTCATCGCTCCCTACTCATCAGGAGCGCTCTAGGCGAAAAAGTCCAGCTTTAGTCATGAATTGTCCCCAGTGAGTTGTGTCATTATTTATATTTTTTTTGCATTTTCTTATTCTGCTATGTGATCTGTAGCTTGTGATTGGTTCCATCTGTGATCTGTGATATACTTTCTGTGCCTTATGAGTTTAATAAATCATTTTCTAATCCTATTTTTACTTAAACCATTGGTTAAAGGTCCGTAAGTCCATTTAACGGCTTGGTGGGGATTGGCAAAAGAAAACCTCTCTTTCAGATAATGCCCCCATGCGGCCAGAGTGATGTCATCGCGTAGGTCCTCTTCTTTGCCCTTTAGGGCCCATTGCATCCTCCCGCCCTCCCTCTTCCAGACTTCCATTTCAACCTCCAGCGACCCGGTGGGGGCTTGCCCATCGTCGATTCCTGACACTCATTTTGCAGCTTCCAGCGTTTCGCCCCGTAACTGCAAGTGCTTTTTAGTTCTGGTTCGTGGGTTCCTTTATTCAGCCTAACCTTCATGGAAAGAAAATGTAGCTTGTTCTCATATTATTTTAGTAGGAACCAACTACGAAAACATTCAAAATATGTGTTCAAAATGATAAATTTGTGATCATTTTCAGACATTTTTTGACAAAAAAAAGTTTAAAAAAAAATACTAATAATTTATAATCTTTTTCGTCCTAAAAATGTGTTGAGTGATATGAAATTGGTTTTATTTCATTTTCAAACCTCTACGGAAACACGAAAAGTCGTCGCTCGCTAACGAGCCATCACCGCGTTTTTAAATAACTAAAGCGGGAAATTATATGTAGCCGTAGTCCTAATTCTTCATGTCCTTTGTCCAGGAACCGTCCTTGAATCGGCAAAGCTTACCCTATGTTTCCGGGGAAAAGCGTTCGGCGGCCTAAATGCCATCTTCCTCGTTCCCCCAACTGGCAACGCTTGCCCGCCGTCCCTCATCATCCTCCGGGCCCATCTGGGCCCCTCCATGGGGACCAGGGCCCTTTTTGATTGTGCCCTTCCCGCAGCCCAGAAGCATTGATTCTCGAAGATTACCTCGTTTTCCGCCCTTTTCCTGCGCGTCTCTTAGGAAGGACCCCAAGGCGCTTGCGAACTGGCAATATGCTGCCCCTTCTCCGGGTTTTTTAGGGGCATTGGCACTCCTGATATTAAAAATTCTCGGCCGAGCACCTCAAGCGAGCAAAAAGGGCTGCTGATCCCATATGGCCCCGAATACTCTTAGAAATTAAGTATTAGTGAAAAATTAGGTTATTACCTTTGCTAGATAAAGCCGCCTCCTTTCAAAAATGCGCCTACTGGGCTGGAACCAGGCTTCCGAACCCCTTTAATCGTGGAACTAGCAAGGCCGCTCCGCCCCTTGCTCGTTTCAAGGCCGTTTTTTGTTGCGGCGTGCCCGGGCGACCCGTGAATCCATAGAAATTTCATCGGGCTGCTCGCCAACGCCCTCGGACCCCCCTGCCTTATTTGGTCCACCACTACGGCCACCCACCTGTGTCCTGCCGTAATCATTGAGGCCCAATTGCACGAGTTCAATTCATTTTAATCCAGATTCCGGCCCTACTGGCTTCCGTACTATGACGGACCCCACCGCAAAAAAAGAATGGGCCCTGTCTAATCCGATTCCCCAAGGGCGGGGTTTGCCGGATTTCAGAGCAAACTTCCGGCGATAAGTGGATTTGGCGCTGAAGACGACTCCACCATTTGCCCCACGCGAGAATCGATACTCGTGTCATTTATTTGCGCTTCGGAATGGCTATGTTGACTCACCGCCTCCATCCCGGTCGGCGCGGAGGGCTTTGTCTTGCGTTGGTGTTTCGAACATGCGTTTTTAGAAAATTTGATAAGATGCCTGCCGTTGGCGGCCCTCGACCGATTCGCCAACACCGCCTGTTTTTCTGATTAGGGCCAGTTTTCTAATTCCTTTCCCTGTTGTTTAGGTTTACAGTCACGTGATTTCAACATTCCGGCGCGTATTCGGCCGTTTGTTGTGTTTTCACTGGCGCGTCTGGCTCTTTTGCGTTGAAACAGCTTCGAATAGGAATTTCACTTCCAAAGGTTATGCGCTGGTTCTCCGCCTACTTTTTCACCCCCAACCGCTATCCGCCGTTCAGTCGGCTAGGGCATTTGTCAGCTGACAACTCCTTTCCCTCCTTCATTCCCGATAGGCAACCGAGGTCGGGCTCTTTCTGGGGTTCCCCGTTTCCGAACTGCCCGTTTCTCAGTTCGTCACTCAATTGTTCGCCCTTCAAGTCTTATTTTCTCCAAAATATTTTTGGGTTTACGCCATTTTTAAGAAAAGAAAGCTCATAAAACTTATTAAAATGTAGGAAATTTTAGGTTTTTGGGTCCAAAGTGTATGAAAATGGTAAAATTCCTAATTTTTAAATTTTCTTTAATTTTTAGAACTATTTGCTGACCTGCTAAAAATGCTATAAAAATAAAAAAGCAAAAATGCTGTTAGGTAGCTGTAGACTTTTCACCCCTCAAAATCTCAGACGTCCGGTTCAGTAATCCCATGCTTCATAGTACTCTGATAATCTTATTTCTTAGAGCTCCGCATGCGCTTCTCAGCCAGCATCTCCACCATCCTATGTTGCAATTAAATTATCGGCTGGGCAAGTTAGGCTATTATTGGGTGTTGGCAGCTGCTAGCCGCTCTACTCAGGGCCCTATTTCTCCGCAAATTAAGCGCCCGGCAGCTTCACCCCCTACTATTGCGCATTCATTTTCTCTGCTCACCTCGGCTCGCCGCCAGCTTCGGCTATGCTATCGATTTTGTGTTATGTGTCTTTGGGAATATCCTCGTCACGGCGGGTTCGATGTGTTCGTTTGTGGGAAACATCCAAGGAGACGGGCAGCCTATTTCACGCGGCGAAATTGTTTTTATAGGGCAATAACAGGTGTGGGTTCCGGGGGATGCGGGTGGCTTGCTGCCGGCGAGAAAACAACTCGTCTTTTAGCGGCGTGTCTTCCGCAGTAATCGAAGCGTGCTTATTATCGTCTCCTCCCCTATTTACGAGATATTTTTTCATTTAAAGCTAGGGTAAGAAAGAACAGCCGGCACTCAAGAGATTCAGGATTTTGAGGTAGTTTTTAAGCCATATTTATGGATAGAAAGTTCATAAAAAACGTCAAAATGATCAAAAATTTGGTGAAGGATCTCTAAAATTTTCATTTTTTTGCAATTTCAAAAATATTTTTAAGACTAGTGAAAAAAACTTTTAAGAACAATAAAACACTAAAATACCAATAACGTTACCAGGGCGATTAGGGTCTAAAGCTATTCCCCCGTACAACCAAGTGTATTTTTTGAAATGGACGTCATTTCTAAGGCTTCTACAATTTTCTTGTCCCAAGCTGCTAGACTTATTGGTGACGTCACCACGGCTCTGAAAGAAACGTGGCGGGTGCGCAGAAGCAAGCTTTGGCCCTAGAAATTGGAGCGTTGTTGTGTGGAGGTCTGAGGGCGAAGGGGGGTGTGTTGTGTGATGTCTGTTTGTATGTGTGTGTATGTATGTGCCCATGGGCCCTTCCCATCTCCTTTTTCGGCAATCCCGGGCCTCCTCCCCCATGGTGGAGAGCATTTTGGCTGCGGGGCGAGAGGCATTCCCCCTTCAGCCACCCGCCACCCATTCATAATTCATCCGCTCGCCTCTTTTCCCCCTGTCTTTTCGCCCTACCCATATTTGCTACTCGTTTTTTTGCCGGCAGCCCGGCTTCGGACAGCTGTATTCATCATAACGGGGCTGAGATGATATTACATCTCGGCGCGGATGTTCTCACGGCCTACCACCCGGCCTCGCACCAGAATTGTACGCATTTATCGACAGCTTTCTTGTCTCCGGCAATAGCTGCGCGTTTTAGTTCGAAATTTTCTTATATCCTTTTCATTTCACGGTTCTTTCTCATTAGGGGGGCTTTTTCTTGCGGGTTAAAACCGAAGCTCCTCCGATGAATCTAGATTTTTTCTCATTATCTCGGGGAGGTGTTTTATTGCGGCGTAAAAACGAAACTTTTCCTATAAAACCGAAACTTTGCGTACGCTTCCAGATTCTTGTTCATTATCGGGGCGGTGGAGGGGTGTTTTTTGCGGGACAAAATCTGACACTTTTCCTATGAATGTGCTTAAGGTTTGAGTCTACGCAAATCCTTTCCAAGATTTCATTCGAGGAGCATTCTGAACGCTAAAGGCATTTTTGCAGAATGGCTATCCCCAATTTTATAAATTAAAAAGAAAAGGTGTTTCCTCTCCTCGGGACGTGGGGTCGCCACCGGGAGGGGGGTGGTCGTATGCGTGGGTTCTTGGACTTCTCTGGGGGTTCGATTTCCTGTATTCCTCATGGTCATTGCGTTTCCTACATAGGGTGTGTTTGATTGAGTGGATTGCTCAAAGTTGGCCAAAGTGAGTCTCAGGCCCGAGCCTTGTCACTCTGTTCACCGGGTTTCATATAGTGGGCCTGCTAATAGACCGGATTCCATGGTATGAAGAGCCTTCCCGTAAAGGCGGGGGCCCGAGCCCCTCGGGGTGGGGATTTCTGCCTCGGGGGGGGGGCGGGGGCAAAATAGGCATGGATTCCCTCCTTATTAGCAATAAATGATAAATATCTGTGGTTTTTCTGGAAATCTATCTAGCTCTATTTAAGTAATAAATTGTAAAAATAGTCTGTATAATTCCCTCTCCTATAATGAGAAAGAACAATTTCACTTTTCATTTATTTTTTTTGGCTCTCTTTCTTTAATTTGCCCGGTATTTACCAAATTTTCAGAATACAGCAACCATGTCGCTGTCCGGGCTGCGCAAGCAGTTCAATAAAGCCAATCAGGTATTGCGTGACTTCGTTCTAAAGCCTCACCTTTTTTTAGTACCTCAGCGAAACGATGGGTGCTGCGGAGGCTACAAAGCTGGATGACACGTTCAACAATATGGAAAATGTAAAAAATTCTGCAAAAATAGGACCTAGCTGTTTAGAAAATTGACGCCACGAACAATTTGATCACGGAGATTGTCGTCAACACCAACGAGTACCTGCAGCCAAATCCGGGTGAGAATTACCGCCTAGACAGCTTACGGAAAGGTGGTGACAGTTTATATCCATGTTTTTCCAGCCACCCGTGCACGAATGGCCACGATGGGCGCTGTATCTAAACTACGAGGGACGACGAAGACATCGCCCTATCCACAAACAGAAGGAAACCTTGCCGATACAATGGCTAAATTTTCGACTCAATTGGGCGATGAGAGTGTTCTTGGAAAGGTGCGTTTTTTGAAACGTCTGCAGAAAATTTCGTTTCTAGGCTCTTCTCGATTCCTCGGAAGCCTACCGTCAGATGGCTGATATCAAGTACCAGATGGAGGAGTCAATTCAACACAACTTTATTACCCCGTTGATGCATCTGCAGACGAACGAGTTGAAAGAAGTGAATGTGAGTTTTATATAGATTTTCGTAATTTATAGATTTAGCACCATCGCACGAAGCTGAAGGGACGTCGTCTAGATTATGATTGCAAGAAGCGGAAGGGGACGCGAGGTGGGTTTTCATAGTTATTATTATTGATGTGATCACCCGCTATCGATAAACTGAAATTAATTGGGAAAACGTTTTGAAAATGACCCTGGTTATTTTTTAGACGAGGAGCTGATACAGGCCGAGGAAAAATTGGAAGAATCGAAGAAGCTTGCTGAGATGGCGATGCACAACGTTCTTACCAATGACGTTAGATACTCTTTTTATACTTCCATTTTATTGTATTTTTTAGGTCGAACAAATTTCACAACTGGCGGCACTGGTGCAGGCCCAGCTCGAGTTCCATCATCAGACCGCACAAGTGCTCGAAAACTTGCAGCAAGCCCTTGGACAGAGGTGAGAATGGCGTGCCACACCTCTAATGGCCCATTTCGGCAATCGAGGTTGAGGCCTAGGCTCACCGGGATTTGTAGATTTCAAAGAATTCGGTCCGTTTCCTGGTTTCCCCCTAAAAGTGACAAAGCAACAAAAAACAAGGCCTTATCCTAAAAACCTTGTTTAGGATAAACGAAGCCTCGATGCGGCCAAGAATGGAACATTTCCCGAAACCCGTGCTCGTTGACCGAACGCCCAGGTCTAGGTGAGTCTCCGAATTTTTGGCTAAATGGAATTTATTGTCTAGGTCTCCTGTCGATGCTCCACCCAGCTACGCGGCCTCCTCCTCACCGTCGCACACCGTCAACGGCGCCGGCCCACTTCCACCTAAACAGACCCCGCAGGCACAGACGAAGAGCCCCTCGGCGAAAGTGCTGTTCGACTTTGTTGCTGAGAACGAGGGCGAGCTCGAGCTGAAGGAGGGACAGGTGTGTGTGATTGACGAAAACTTTTTTAGGTTGTAGGTGGTTGAAATCTTTTGAAATTGGGTTTTTCGATGGTATGACTCGTAAATATGGCTGGGAAAATGAGGGCCGAAAACGTGTTTTTCGAAAGGGTGCTAAAATATAATCTCATTGCTCTAAAAACTACAGCTGTCTGAATCATTCTTTTCTAGATGGTCGAACTCGTCTCCCAAATCGACGAGAACTGGTTTGAAGGAAAAGTGAACGGAAAGGCCGGCCTGTTCCCGATCAATTATGTCGAGGTATAAACTCGATTTTAATGCAAACGATACTCATTTTTAGGTGGTCGTCCCGCTGAAATGATTCCTTCTTGCTTCTTCTGCCAGTCACTTCCTTCAGTCCACCACCAGTCAGTATTGTGTAGCCATTCGTTTCTTGATTCCAGATGAGATCCCGTTCAAAGCAATACACGCTCTTACCATGCCCTGTTTGTCCTTTTTGCTTGCTGATGATGTTCTGTCTCGTTCCCCAATGCCTCCCCTCGGGCGACGATCTGCCCGCGCCCGGAACGCGATGTCATGTAAAACTGCTAAAGGTCTTCTGATGACACGGGTACAAGGTTACCCTAGTCACCTCTTCTCTTCTGCATTCTCACATTATTCGACCCGCTTCCCGGTCCCGTATTTATTTTATCCGATGTAGATCTAAGTCATGGCACATTTAAAAGCTTCGTGAAGAGATGGGCGGGTTAAAAGCCCTGGATCGAGCGGATTTCAAAATATGCGTTTTGTTCTCGTCGCTTGGAAAGTGCCTTGGGATTGTATAGATTCGAAATAATAATAATCAAAAAAAAAAAAATCAAAATTCTGTAACTATCAAATTTTACGTTAAATTTTTAAGTCCGTTTCCCAGGGCCACCCATCTCTTCACCGATTTTGTAGCATTTTCTATAGACTATGCATTTTTCTGAGCTTTTGTGCATTTTATTTATTTGGCGCTGTTCACTCCTCCTTTCCCCCACGTAACCCTTGCCAGCCCCACGACGACCTGCTAGTTTTTTCTTGTGAGTTGCCCCGGAAACAGTCAAGCTCCCGTCCTAGGTTCCCTCTGCGTATTATTTTTCGCCCGATGTGCATTGATAGATTTCCCCCCAACACACAGCTAGCATCAAATATATTGTGAGTAGAACGAGGCGATGACCATGCGTTACACTGGACACGCGTCATAACATGTTTTTGAGGGCGCGCGCGCATGGTTCTGAACTGTTAGCGGGGTGGGAAAGCGACTTACAGATATTTTCGAAGTCAAATTTGTTCAAATTTTCACGAAGTTTGGATAATTAAAAACGGTGGAAGAAGCTGCAGAGGTAGTGTCTATTTTATTATTGGGACCCTACGCAGCGATAAGCTAAAACCATCCCCCTCCCAAACAATACAGAACCCGCGCAAGAGTCGATATCCCACATCGATACGCGCTATCGAACTAAAAATTCGAATAGATATTTGGTGGTGGGGCGCGAAATTCTTTTCGCAAATAGCTAGCGGGGCGGCGCCGGCGGGCAGCACGAGGGGGACGCGGCCGCGCGGGAGGGTGGATGGTGTGCTGTTTTGGGTAAACACCCGATTTGCACACACACACATATAGCTCGGGGCGTTCGGCTTGCAAAAAGGGCGGGGAGGATGACCTCTCTGCTAATATGGTAATTGATGAGGCTGGTTATCGGCTGGGAGTGCAGGGCTTGGTGCATAAAATAGCTTATTTCTAAACTATAAAATATGGGGGCTGTACGCGAAATGCCTAAATATGACGCTTTGGCCTAAATTAGTAGTTTTTTACGTAGTTTGGTTCTGCAAAATTTACTTTACAAATTTTTTACTGCATGTCCGAAAAAGTGTAAATAATCCTACTATTTTCTATATAAATAAAAAATAGTGTTGTGTGTGTGTGTGTGGGGCAGTTTTTTTTCCCTTTCGGGGGTTTTTTCGGGGGAAATCCCAAGAAGGGGGGGGGGGGGGGGGCGGGGAAGAATTATGGGGGGGGGGGGTGGGGGGGGGGGGGCAGCAAACAGAATATTTAAAAAGGGGGAAATTTTTTATTAAATTTTTTTTTTTTTAAAAAAATTTTTTTTGGAAAAATATAAAAGAGGGGAAGGGGGGGGGGGTGTATAAAAGAGGGGGGGGAGGGGTTTATTTTTTTTTTTTTGGAGGGGGGGAAAGTTAGGGGGGGGGGGAAAAAAAGGGGGGGGGGGGGGGGGGGAAAAGGGCGAAGTTTAAAACGAAAAAAATAAATAAAGGTTTTATTTCGTAGAGTTAAAAGTATATAGATTTATAAAAAAGCTTATACAGCTTTATAATATTTACGCGGTATACGAAAAACGGTAAGAATCGAATTTAAAAGGTATTAGTTAATCATGAGTATATTTACACGTATTTGGACCCTAAATTAGTTTATTTTTAAACTATAGAGTGCGTGATACCAGGCTAAATCACTAATTACGATCCACTCCGTCAGAATCAATTTGTTAGATTTTGATCAGAGCTTCATAATTTTCGATAAAGCTGGGCCACTCGGGGTTCTCGGAGAAGCCGCTGAGTCACCGCTCGGCCCGGCGGCTCCATATACGGGGGGTGAGAATCCGGGGGTCGTCAACCCCTCCGTCCCCCCAGGGCTGGACGCGCTGCGTGCGGGGTGTTTGTGGCCCTTTTGGCCCTTTTCCTATAAAAGAGAAACGAAAGAGAAGGCATTGTTGGTGGTGGTGGTCGACCGATGGATGTGGACAGTGTGCTGTGCGGGAAGCGAATGGACGGGGCGGAGAGGGCCCTTTCCTGTCTGTCTGTCTGTCCGTTCGTCTGTCTGTCTGTATGTGTGTATGTCCCGGCAAACGGTGTCCCACCCCTTCTCCTCCTCGCTCCCCGAGAAGATCCCCCCTTCGACCGTTCCTCCACAGATCTCCTCCGCGCCGCCCGCAGCACTTTCTGATTCGCCCCCCGCGCTCCCCTCAACACACACGACACACGCGGACCCGGAGAAGAACATTCGATTCATCGATTAGCAGCAGCAGCAGAAGCAGCAGCAACACTGGCGTCGAAACGGAAACGGTCACGCTCACTGTCCGCCGAGCTGCGCGACCAGTTCGGGTAGGTGATGAGGGGATTGGCTTTCGAGCCTTTTTTAGCATTTAAAAATAACTAGCTTTACGGTGTTTTCGGCTAAAAATATCGTTTTTGGATTGCTTACGATATTTTACAAATAAAATATTGCAATTTAAACTAGTAAAGCTATTTTTTGGTTGTCAAGTTCATTTCAGCTTTTTTATTTTATTTTATTGTTTTTATCCCACTTTAAAAACTCAATAATTTAATTAGCACCTATTTGTAGGCATTAATTATATTTTATCTACCAAAATCTAGCCTTTCTCCAGCTTCTGCCAGTAATAATTCAGCTTTTCCGCTTTGCTCCGGAAATCGGAGTGCCCACAAAAATTGTAGCTTGCCTCGAGGCAGGGCTCGCGTGAGCAAAAAGCCCCTAAAAATTGAAAAATAGAAGTGAAAATTTGGAGCCTAGAGTAATTCAAAAATCATTATATACCCGGTGAAATTATCACTTTTAGCGGTACTGTACGCCGAGCAACAGCCGTTGTGCCAACTACAAAATTGGATGGCAGCACGGCGCACAGCCCAAATCCATCAACTTCGAGCTGTCACTCGCACAGCGCTGATTCTGGTAGGGTAAAAGCAAAAAGCAAAAGTAAAAAGTCGTCGAGGTATTTTAAAATGCTAAAAATTTTGAATTTTTACATTGTTAGGTCATTTTTTCATACATTTTCGACCAAAAAAATCAAAATTTTCAAAAATTTTTTCTGCTTTTGATATCTAAAAACATTAGGATGATACCAAAAAAGGTTTGTATTTCGTTATAGGATCGTACGAAATTGTTGGAGAAATTCCCACGGCTAAGTCAGCCCGCTCACAGGCCTGTACCGTGCCCCGGTTATTACTTGTGCTAAAGTAATTTAGAAAGGCTGTTTTTTACCAAATAGCGATCATAAAAATCTCTAAATTAAATTAAATAGTTAAATTAAACTCTAAATTTTCTGTTTGATTTTCTTTTGTATTTTTTTAACGCGTTACCCCTAACTTTTCCAGGCGTCAGCTCGGATTGCAGTGCCCCCACGAATTTTCACCAAGTGCCAGATAGCCAATTCATCTCCACCCATCTGCAGGTATTTGTTTATATGCGTTTTGCGTTCATTAGATTGGGGCGGCGTCACACGCTCCACAATCGGCTTGTTTATCAACATCATCGACAGGACTTTGAGCCTGGAAATTACGTGGAGGGGTCGGCGGGAAAAGGGAGAATGGCACTTGGAAACAGAATATTATCGTAAAATTATTGTTTTAAAGGTTTAATTAGTTTAGGAATGAATTCTGCTTGTTTGAAGTTGTAATCTAGCGTTTAACCTTCTTTTGGGCGTTTAAAACCGTTGTAAAAAGCATTTTAAAAGGTTTCGAATAAAGATTCGTTTAGTGTTGAGATAATATAGTGTTATTAAATTGAGTTATATGTTAGAAAGAATTCAGCTAGAAAAGCCCTATAAAAATTTGCCTTCTAACACTTTTATCTTATAAAACTTTGGAAACTACAACTTTGGAACTAACTTTGGAATCTGGGTCCTAAGGCTTTCAATTTAACGCGCCTAAGCTCTGGCATATTGCCTATAGTTGTAGGATTTTTTAAAAGATAAATTCTATAGGGTTTTCAGGAGATCTTAGCGAGCTCCCCGGCGCAACTATCGCGCGCCGGTCTGCTACCTACGGGCGGCGTGACGAACCAGTGGGAACAGTGGTTGTGCTGGCTATCCACAGCCCTCACCCCTCCACAATGGCAGGTTCGACTTTTGTTGGTTGTGTTTCAGCAAAAGCTTGTATTTGTACGGGTAATTGGACTTAAAGGGATACCCAACCTTTTCGGGGTTCAAAAAGCAAAAACCATGACGCGGGCGGGGGTCGAACCCGGGACCCCCGCTTTCAAGACCTGGATGCTATCCATTAGGCCATAGTGGCAAGCCATTCGTCGAGATGAGGACGCCACAAGGGGGAGAGGAGGCCGAATTCTGTGCGGCACTGGGCATCCATTACCGCACAAAATTCGCGCGTCATTTGTACTCCCCCGGAATACATAACTATATATTTGCCGCCAAAACATTGGGTATCCCTTTAAAGACTTTGAAACTATCAAAAATCGTTTTAAGACGGCGCTAAGAGCAGAAACCAATTTTTTAAAGGCAGTTTTCTAGTTTTAGAGATATTTCTTGTTATAATAAATCGATATTGATATAAAACCTCATATTCATACCTACG